CTAAACCTCCAGCAGCAGCTTAAACACACAACCTGCTCAAAGTGGGTCAGTGGGAGCTTCAGGAAACGGTTTTTATTATACGATCACATATTTCCTCCATTTTCTTTATAACAGAGTTTGAGCCACAGAGGAAACAATAAATATGTAGTTTGCTTTCATACATGAAGAACTGTAGAAGAGACGTCAGATAGTTTTTAGGGTAAATCAGCAAAGTTAGTGCAGGACCAGGTCAGAGATGATTAGGTTCATTTTGTCCACTCTGGTTTTAGGTGTAATGTTTATATTATATATTATAATTTAAATAGGAGCTGGTTTGACCTCGACACCGTCGCTTCATTTATCCTCAAATGATCTGGCAGCAGATGCAGAGACAGGAAGGCTGTCTGATAGATTGTTCAGGGTGGTTTTAAATAAAGTGTTTCCTTGTCTTCATGGTGTTTCATATAAGCTGCAGTTCTCCAAAATAAAATGCAGTGAAATGAAGAAGGTCAGTCTGAGGCCTGATTTAATAAACTCATGGATAAAACAGCCGTTAATCTGATCGACGTTTGTTCACCTCAAACCTGCTCCATGTATTTAATGTCCAGTGTTTATGCTCATTCTGGCTCGTTTACAACATGTGTGTTTCTACGTTTGTTCATTAATGTGAACGCTCCGTTTTAAATAAATTAATTTAGAAATAAATCAATTTAAAAATGTGCTTCGGTAAAATTAATTTTATTGGCCGTGTGCTTTGAAAAATAAAGTCTTACGTCCTCGTCTTTAATAATATAACACTGGTAATAATTTTAAAAAAAGAAAAACAAAGATAATAAATAATAAATTCTGGTAAAATAAACCAAATGACAGCTGATATGTTCAGTTGTGGATCTAATCTTAGGTGAGAAAGTTCACATGAGCAGTTTTATGTGAATCGGTGCGACTGAATTCAAACTGTGAGTTCAGCAGCTTTCCTGACAGTCAGCAGCGCTTTATGGCAGCATTAGGTTATTATTTATATTCTTTGATGGAAGCAGACGACTAAAGCGTCTCAAGTCCCAGAGATCCAGGATCACGTCGGCCGTGAACGCCACCAAGTTTGGACGAGTGAGAGATAAAAACATGGCCGCTGATGACACGGAGTCACCGTCCAGGAGCATCTCCAGACGTCACCACATCACAGAGAGCGAGGACTCTGAGGAACATCTACAGTCTGGTTTTAAATCTTCTCCTTCGGGCCGCCGGCGTCTCATCGGCTTCACTCGGCGACGGACTGATTGTGGATTTTACTCCCACGTTTTACCGTCACACTTGTGTAGCGACGGCAGCGTTTGATTATCCAGCAGCTGTGTCTGTGCTCGGTATCAGATAGAAACAGTGGTTCTGGTGAAGTTCTGTTAAAAACACCAATAAAATGCTGAAGACCCGTTCTGTCACAAGTCTGGTTCTGAAGCAACAACTTCTCTCTTAAACACCCAGAAGACACTCAGAGGACACAACAAGCAGCAACACTCTGAGTCTAACTTTATATTTAAAAATATTACATTTAATTCACAAACACTTCTGGTTGTGCTCTGCTAAAAGCAGGACGACAGGAACTCTGAGATCAGTGATGACATGAAACCCGGTTCGTTATGTGCGTGAGGCATCTGGTA